TTGAATAAAAAAACTGGAAAGAACTTGGGACCCTGGTGACTTCTGGGATCTGCCCTCTGAGCTTTGGACTACCACCTCCAAATGGGTAAGAGAATAAAGCTTTGTGTATTTAATTTGCTGTTAATTTGAGTTTTTATTAACTTCTAGTGAACTTAATCCTAACTTATACATGTGCTTATTCCTGAATCAATTCCTGTTGCCACCTGCCTAGTGCAATTCACTTTGCAAAGTCACAACGACTGTCTCACTAAATGCTGGTTCCCTTGTATTTCTATTAAAAATCATGGACTGATGGGTATCAGTGTGTCACACCTGTGATTCCACCTACTCAGGAGGCTATTTGAGGATTGAGGTTGGAAGCCTGCTTGGCTAGGAAAGTCCCTGAGACTTTTATCTCTAATAAACTATTTAGAAATAAAAGGGAAGGGGAGCTGTGAATCAAGTGGTAGAGTGCTAGCCTTGAGCAAAAGGAGCTTAGGGACAGTGTCAGGTCCTGAGTTCAAGCCCAAGGACTGGCACAAATAAAATAAATGACTAGAGAGAAGCAATGCTCTGAATATCTACATGAGAAGTTTCCTTACTGTAAGTCTACAGCATTCTTGTTACAAAGTTTAGAATAATTATTTCTTGGAAAATACGAAGTAAGTTTACTATGTACCCTGTAAATTCAAATTGGTGGTTATGCAATTTACATTAATTTTAGTTAGAAAAACAAACTTTCCTGTCCTTTCAAAAACATTGTTTCTAAAATGCAAGGTTTGTCATTCAGTTGATAAAATTCCATTTCAGCACATATGGGATTATTAATAAATTTTTAAACTGTATTCTCTGTTCTAATTTGGATTTGATTTTATTGAATAGGCCATTCTCTATCTGCTTCAGAATCAATTCCTTTCTTCCTTCCTTCCTTTTTCCTTCCTTCCTTCCTTCCTTCCTTCCTTCCTTCCTTCCCTCCTTCCTTCCTTCTTTCCTTTTCCTTTTTTTCTTTTGGTGCTCATAAGAGGTCTTGAAATCAGGGTTTGACACTCTTCCTTAGCTTTTTCACTCTGCCATTTGAGCCACACCTCAACTTCCAGCTTTTTTTTGCTAGTTAATTGGAGATAAGAGTCTTATGGACTTTCCTGCCTGGGCTGGCTTTGAACCATGATCCTCAGACCTCAGCCTCCTGAAGCTAGGATTACACCTGTAAGTCACCAAGAATCCAATAGAACTTTAAATTGTAATGTCTCTGTTAAATAAGTTATCTTCTACATACAAATGATTTTCTCAGTCCACATTTCTAATTCTTCTTGTTTTACTTAAATATAACAATTTGAGTGCAAGATGTAGCATGCCAGGCAATTATGAATTTAGGCACTAGGTTTGATCCCCAGCATTGGGGGATCAGTGCAGGGGTGGGGTGGGGTAGGGGTCAGGTAGAGTCAACCTAAAACCCTAGCATGAACTTACCAAAAAACATTAGCTATTTTAAGAAAACAACACTTCGTTATTTCTTGAGTGGTCCCAGAATCACAGCCAACCAGGAAGGCAACTTAGCCACTCCACTATGGGCTAGGGAAGTAGCTCAAGTTGTAGAACGCCTGCCTAGTAAGGCAAGACTCTGAGTTCACTGCCCCATCCTCCTGATAACAAAACATTGGCTGTTAACTTGCTACAACCTGGACTAGACAGACACCTTTGTTGAGATGATGAAATCTTTAACTTTCTGATTACATCTTCTTTTCCGATTTCAGGAAGATGAGGGTTTATTTCTAAAATCCCCAAGAAGCAACCAGGCATAGTGATAGGTGACACACGCAGTGATAGGTGCCTGTAATTCCTGCACACAGGAGGAATTTGAGGCCAGTCTGCGCTACACAGTGAGACTTTGTCTTAAAAACAACAACAAGGGTTGAGGATGTAGCTCAGAGGCAGAGGGCTTGCCAGCATACCCAAGGCCCTGATCTCAATCCCAGATCAGGAAAAAAAGAAAGAAAGCAAGCACCCCACCCCCACCCCAAATTCCTAAGAGGCAGAAATATTTCTACTTCACATGAAAACAAGTGTCAGTGTTTAATGGCCCTTATAAGGCCTTTATTTTTTTTATTGGGTCCAGTTGTGGGCCCTGGACTCTGGGCCTGGGGACTGTCCCTCAGCTCTTCAGCTCAAGGCTAGCGCTCTACCACTTGAGCCACAGTGCCACTTCTGGCTTTTTTCCTTTTTTTGCTTATGTGGTGCTGAGGAATTGAACCCAGGGCCTCATGCATGCAAGGCAAGCTCTCTACCACTGAGCCACCTTCCCAGCCCAAGGCCTTTATTTTTATTTTTATTTTTTTTATCAGTTGTGGGGCCTGAACTCAAGGCCTGGGCACTGTCCCTGAGCTTTTTTGTTCAAGGCTAGTGCTCTACCACTTAAAGCCACAGCACCACTTACAGTTTTTCTGTGGGCAATTGGAGATAACAGTCTCATGGACTTTCCTGCCCAGGGTTGCTTCAAACTGTAATCCTCAGGTCTCAGCTTCCTGAGTACCTAGGATTACAGGTGTGAGCTACCAGCTCCAGGCTAAATAATGCCCTTACAAATCTGCCTTACAAGGTAGCGATTTACATAAAGAATAACAACACTCCCCAGTTCTGCCTAGAGTTGAAAAAAAAAAACACCACCAGCACACTTAACCCTGTCCAGTCTCTTTGCTAATCTCTAAAGTTCAGACACTCAAACAGCAGCTTTGTGGTTTTTGGCCACATTTTATCTTGGTTACTATTTCTTGCCTTCTTTACCTTTTTCTTTTAACTTAAATTTATTTTGAAGAGAATCTTTGTATCACCGCTGCATGATTATAAAATCAGTCTTGCTTAAGGGAACTAGAAGTTAAACTGCAAAAATAAACACAATGGAAAGAGTGAATTTTAAAAATAGTCAAATGAGGACACTTCTGCATAACCAAGGTGACAAGCTTTATGTGATAGAAAATATTAGTCATGGTAACTTCTCATGGGTTTCTTGTTAGTCACAGCAAATACTAGCATTAGATTACTCTGAAATTATAAAGCAAATTTCAAGTGGGAGCCTTTTCCTCTGTGTGTGTGTGAATAGTGAGATTCTGTCTGAAATGTATCTATTACCTTCCTTGGAGAAACATGTTTTGAGGGGGAAAATTAAGATTTTATATTATTAATTCTATTTTATTAAGAAGAGTTATCAAACCCTAGCAAGACTAATGCATCTGAGGCTTTGGCTAAAACATCTGGAAGTCTTGCACATGTCTAGACTTTGAGACTGGGAGTTTGCATTGTAAAATAACATCTCAGACAACACCAGTGCAGGTGCTGTGGTAACCTTGACTTTGGTAAACAAGTGAAAAGGCATTCTTCTTTGCTGTATTCACTCGTTCTTCCCTCAAGTATGGGATCTCTCCTGGGGTGCTCTGTCAACCCCTGTCGAGGGCAGGAGCTGTCCTAAGACACAAAATGATTTATTCATTCATTCATTTATTTTTTGTCAAATGTGGGGCTTGAACTCATGGCCTGGGCACTGTCCCTGAGCTTTTTTACTCAAAGCTAGCAAGCACTCTACCACTTGGAGCCACAGCTCCACTTCTGTTTTTCTGGTAGTTAATTGGAGACAAGAGTCTCACAGCCTCTCCTGCCTGGGCTGGCTTCAAACTGTGATCCTCAGATCTCAGCCTCCCGTGTAGCTAGGATTGTAGGCCTGAGCCACTGGAGTTCGGCCTCAAGATAGAATTTTTATGTCCAATGAGCTGTTCTAGCATAAACACTCTTGGAGTTCAGGGGTGAGGTCACTGTGGGCTGCAGGAGTGAGGAGAAGGCTCCATGGATCTGGGCTGGAAAGATCTGGAGATCTCGAGATTTTTCTAGGAGGAAGGAGTGTAGAACGGACTTCTGAAAACCAGGTCAACGGCCTTGGGAGGTGAAGTTCTAGGTAGAGCAGACACTTTATTCTGGGGCAGGAAGTGGCTCCTCAAGGTCTTCCGCACGGAAACCAGAGGCTAGCTCAGTGTTAGGAAGAACAATAAGCTAGCTTTGGTGTTCTGGATAGACTGGATCTGACAAGGCTAAGACCACAGCAATCAGTAAGCTTCCCAGTGGTGCAAGTCCTGAAAGGAGACCATTGGAAAGGCCAGACTAACAAAATAATAAAATAAATCCTATTTGTAAGAAGAGGGAAGCGATGGGAAAGGTGCCCAAGACCACAGGCATCCGTGGGAGATGAATCCTAGAGCATTCAGCCTCCTCCAGCCCGTGGAGGGGCTGGAAATCCTCCTGTGGGTGGCACACGCTGAATAAACCCTGTCCGGTCTCCATGACCCTAGAACCGTGTTCTTCACCTGCTCCAGCTGCAACTTATAACCCCTGCTTTCACTGTATTTGATGTCGGTATAATTTGTGGAGGGGAAGGGGAAAAACAAGTCGTTTAAATAAGGATACAGGTGGACCCGTTGAAACAATTAGAAGTACAAGTTGTCACATCGAAAACGAACTTTACAACTTTGGGGGGGGACTGGGTGGGGGACGGGGGGGGGTTGCTGGGAAGGGATGGGAAGGGGAAACAAAGGAGGAGGCTGCAATGCTTGATAAGAAATGTACTCATTATCTTGCCCATGTAATTATAACCCCTCTGTACAGTATTTTCACAATAATAATAATAAAAAAGAACCTACACGCGCGCAGAAAGCACGCTCACCCCAAGCCAGGTTGAATGGGCACCCCCCTGGTGACCGGCCGGCCTTCGAGCGTGTGTTTCCTCGCACAGGGAAAGCACTTGGGAGCTACAGAAGAGCAAGCTTCCTGCCGCTCCGACGTTTAGTCATTTTAGGAAGCCAGCTCCTTCTTCAAGGCCCAGATCCCCCTCCCCCCCCCCCCCCCCCCCCCGCCATCCTCTGTCGGTCTGTTTCGGGGGTGAAGGCCGCCTGCCGGGAGGAGGCGGCGCCCTGGCCTCGGGGTAAAACCGAAAGTGGCCGCGGTGACTCGGGTGGGGGGTGGGAGGAGAGAGGGCGGTCTCGGGGTGGAAGGAAGGTGGTGACCGGGCCGGGGATGTCCGCCTCGGGGCTGCGTGCTGGTGATGGCTCTCCGTCTGGTCGTAGATTTCGATCTCCGGAAAGACGTGCTCCCCTGGCTGCGGGCGCAGGGCGCGGAAAGCGGCGGCGCAGGTGCCCGGGCGCGCGCGTGTCCCGGTTAGGGGACTGGTGGGGACGAGGAGGCAGATTCATTTATTCCCGGAGGCTGGGGTGCATGGGGGGGGGGAACACCGACCCAGCGGAGGCACCCCCGCCCTCCGCGTTTTCCTCCCGCGCCGGTAAGCTGTGAAGGTTGGTGCCTAGAGGTTGAGCGTCCCTCTGGAGCCCCGGCTTCTTGGCTTGGCGGTGTCACCCAGGGCCATCCGGTAAAGGTCGTGGTTGGGCTACGCGATCTCTTCTAGCGAGCCCGCCAGCGACCCCCGTGCTGCGCCCCCCCCCCAACAGCAACAGGAACAACAACAAAACCCTCAGCCTCGCAGAAAGTCCGGGGACACTGGCGGCACCCCCTGAGTGGCGTTGCTTCGTGGGAGCAAGGGGGGTGGGAAAGGGGGAGGCGGCTGCGGGAGCCAGGGGGCTTGTTCACACTTCACCAGCGCGGGCGCGCGCGCGCGCGCGCACACACACACACACACACACCCCAAAACCACCAAATGTCTTAAAAAAAAATAAAACCTTGCCTTATTTTTTCCTCTCTTATTTCTCCAATGAAAGCTCATTGGATTGCTGTAATACCTAGAAGTGAGTTAAATGCTTATCTGTAGTTTTTTGTTGTTGGTGGTGGTGAAATTATTAGGCCATTCAAGGATTAAGAAACCACTGATAGCTGAGATGGCTAGTGCTATAATCCTAGGTACTCAGGAGGCTGAGATTTGAGGATTAAGGAATGAAGTCAATCTGAGCAAGAAAATCCATGAGACTCTTATCTCCATTTAACCATCAAAATCTTGTGACTCAAGTATTAGAGCACTAACTACCTCAAGCATAAAAGCTCAGGAGCAACAGCCAGGCCCATGACTGGTACACACACACACACACACACACACACACACACACACACACACACACACACACACACACACACACACACACCCCAAAACGGAATTATGGTCACCAAGAAAACCATCATATAAATATTTTAACCTTTGCGCCGTTTGAGCTCGACTGTGATTTGTGAGCGTGTGCGCGTGCGCGCGCGCCCGCCTTCCTGGCCCGATCTACTGGAAAGAAGGGGAACTCTCGTGGTTCGGAGTTTGCTGAACTTTTGTGAGGCCCCGTTTTTGTGTCTGTGTGGCAGATGGGAAGCACAGTTGGGGGGGGTCTGTCCCATGGGCGGGGGTCTTTTCCAAGCTGGGCGCAGGGAAGACAGCCTGTTGTCTAAAGCCTTCAAGCGCTCAGCACCCCACAAGGATGCCCAGACTCCCTCCCCCCCCACCCCCGAAATTTGAATAGGAGCCCATCTGCTGAGGCTGCTGCCCACATCTCTGTTTTGATTCTGGAAATGAGTGAAAAGTGACCAGGAGGCCAGTGTTGATCTACTTTAAACAAGAGGTGTGTGTGTGTGTGTGTGTGCAAGAGCTGTCCACTTACACACTGTAGACTATTCGTACATGTGTGAACGAACAGGCATCAAATTACCCAACTTCATTGCTGCTTTGTATCTATCTGCACACTAGCATGAGCTTTAGCAGAATTATGTGCAAGGTTCCTTGTCTTGGCCTGTGGGTTGTTAGTTCCACAATATTAGCTATGTGTAGCAGCCTGAATTTGTTGTTAGTGTCATTATGAATAAAGTTTTACTTTCCATAGGGGGCGAGGAAGAGGATCTGCATGTTTAAATAGGTCTCCAAGACTTAGCTTTTCGGAATACTGCAGGCAGCTCTAAGTCCGTTTTCTACCACCCAGGAGTATGCCCACTTAGAATGACAGGTGTCTGCAAATGAGAAGTCAGATAAGTGTGAAATGCCACACTCATGTTTCAGTGATGGGTGTTGTGATCAAAAAGCTGTGTGTGACCCTGTTGGAGTTTGTATCTTTTGCTTATCTATGAAGAATTGTAAACTTGTATATTGATACTCCACTAAAAAATAAAGGTATCCTCAGAAGGTAAATTTACTAGAAATACTAATTTTTCCAATATTAATAGCATTATGCTCATTCAGAACACAGTGGCACAATATTACTTACTTTTTATGCTTTTCAAATATAAATAACTAATACTATTTTTTTGCAGCTTTCCAACTATAACTATAGCATTTTAATGGCACCTTGTTTTAACACTTGCTTTCCTAATTTGAAGTCTTAATATTTTTCTGCAATTTCTCTCTTTTTTAAAATTTTTTCTTTCTTTTTGTGGTACCTGGGGTTTGAACTAAGGGCTTATAATTGCTAGGCAGGTGCTCTATTACTTGAGCCATGCCCCATCCCAGAGCCTTCATATTTTTCCACTAACAAATCCAAATGAAGATTTCTTACTGGTGCTGAGCAATTCTCTTGAAGTCTGGCATAGTCCTGGTAAAACAGGCAGGAGCAGGCTGTCAGCTGTGGCTGATTCTAAGAGAGCATAACAGTCAATAAGGGCTAGAGGACTTAGGAGGCTAGTTTTGGCTCATGCAGCTACTCTTGGTTCTATGTTGGGAAAATAGTCTTGCCTAAAAAAAAAGAGAAAAAACATTATTCTTAAATATAAAAATGAATAAATAAAAGAGTATTTGAATGTATGTTACTTATAGTTGATGATTTTAAAACCATAGACATTCACTATTTCATTTTACAGATGTTGAAAATATCCTAAGTCAAAAATACATAGGGGCTTGAGGCATGCTCATGTTAGCAAGTGTGAGCCCTAAGTCAAAACTTCCATACCACACAAAAGGGTTCATTTAATACGCCTAACTTACTGGGCATCCTAGCTTAACAACACAGTACCCTGTAGAATACAGGTTGTTGATCCTCAGGATTGTGGCTGACTGGGAGGTATAGCTTGCTACCATTGCCCAGCACCACAAGACAGCATCCTACCATATTCAGAATTCAAGGTATGGCTTCAATTCTACTTGCTTTAATGCCTTTGTAAAGTAAAACAAAACTAAACCAAACCAAAGTACTAAATTGGATCATTGTAAGTCAGGGACCATCTATCTTATATGATTCTGTCTGGGTCAACCTGAACCGTGATTCTTTCTCTCTTTTTTTTGGGGGGGGTCTAGTTGTGGGGTCTGAACTCTGGGCCTGGGTGCTGTCCCTCAGCTCTTCAGCTCAAGGCTAGCGCTCTACCACTTGCGCCACAACACCACTTCCAGCTTTTTCTGCTTATGTGGTGCTGAGGAATTGAACTCAGGGCCTCATGGATGCAAGGCAAGCACTCTACCATTGAGCCACCTTCCCAGCCCCTGGACCATGACTCTCTTATCCACACTTTCTATGTAGCTGAGATAATAATAGACAAGAACCACTTCACTCAGCTTTTTTTTTTAATACGTATTTTTTATTGTAAAGATACTGCACAGAGGGGTTACAGTTACATGAGAAAGATAATGAGCACATTTTCTATGGAGCATTGTTACCCCCTCCTTTGTTTTTCCCCTACCATCCCTTCCCTCCTACCTTCCCAACTCCTTCCTGCCCCTCGAAGTTGTAAAATTTGTTTTCAACATAGTGTATTGTACATCTCATTGTTACAATGGGTCAACCTGTGTCCTTATTCCAGTATTTTGTTATTTCCCTTTTCTTCCCCAAATTAGAAAATGTATACACAAGATGCAGGGCACCGGAATCAAATACAGTGAAAACAGGGGTTATACCATGGGAGAGGAACATACAAAAGAAACAAAAAAAACCACATATAAGTGCACATATAAGTGCATTAAAAACAACATGAAAGATAAAACCACTTGTGTCCCTATCTTAGAGTTCATTTTGCTTAGCATCATCTTATATGGTCATACGTACATAGCTTTTGACTTTTTCTGCTTGTCCTAGACATATACTAGCTATTGCAAATAAGGGAAACCATGGGACCTATGTTTCTTTAGGCCTGGCTTACTTCACTCAATATAATTTTTTTCAAGTCTTTCCATTTCCTAACAAATGGGGCACGGTGTCATTCTTTCTGATGGAAGCATAGAGTTATATATATATATATATATATATATATATTGCATATTCTTTATCCATTCATCTACTGAAGGACATCTGTCACCTAGCTTTTTATCTGTTGAAATAAATTCTTTACCTAGTCTGGGTCAAACTGCAGTCAATGTCAATGTCAACCTCCCAAGTAGCTAGGATTATAGTCTTAAGTCAATGTGTCTAACAGATGGTTATCTTTGCCAGGGAAAGAGGTATAGTTGTCCAGGTGACTGATTTAAATCTAAGTGTTCCTTTCACTGTTCTTATATACCCCCAAGATGGATTGGGGGGTGGTGTAGTCAGAGAGTAATTCTCTTGGTCATGCTGTTGTTCTCATTTGTTTCCCATTCTCTTGCCAAGGTCTTTCCTGTTTATGTTTCCTTCTCAACTTCCTTAGTCTCCTGTTTCAATTCTTTGTTCTTCTCTATTTGATGAACTCTGGGCTTGGGCGCTGTCCCTCAGCTCTTCAGCACCACTTAAGCCATAGCGCCACTTCCTGTTTTTGATTCTTAATTATCTCATCTTTCTTTTTCTCATTTAGAATGTGAGGTACAAATCATATTTTTTCTTCATAGCTACTCATACTGAGTCTGGGGACCTGAGTAAATTATTTACAGACTAGGAGTGTCACAGGTACAACCATATTTTATCATCCCTGCATCTAAGTATTTGGAAATTCATTCAAAAATTTTAATAAGACTATATGATTCCCTCTTCTTTGGCAAGTATTGCCATTACAAAGATAGAAAACACTTTTCTTCTCTTTTTCTTTTTTGGTCTCACAGCAGTTTGGCATAAAATTTATACATTTGGCAAACATCTTCCTGTAAAATGACTATCTGGAAAACTAGCATCTGCTTACTTTATCTCTTTTCTGTAGTAGGTTTATTTATGAAACATCTTACTTATAAAACTGGTGTTTTTGTTTTTTTTTGTGAGAACCAACTACACTGAACTGTGAAATTAAGCCACATTTCCTCCTTGAAATTGCTTAACTTCCTTTTCTGGGCTTTCCAGAGTTGAACCACTGGGAGAAGAGTCAGAATGAATAAGCAGAGAGGTTACTGGATACTTCTTTGAGAAGGGTGTGTTAAACTATGAGTAAGGCATTCAGGGTGGCAGGGCCAGTGGGTTAACAGTGTGCGGTGAGATAATTGTCTCTGAATTTCCAACATTGCCAAATGTTTCTATTTCAAATATTCTTAAAATATGAACCATATACGGAGCCACAGGGTTAGCATTGACTAATGTACCCATGAAGGTGTTATTTAAAAATTTTCCAACTCTACCATACGTCCTCTGCAGGTCTTCATTATGCTTACTAATGATTGTTGCTTCATATATAATGCAAAGACATCGTTTATTGGTTTTCAACCCTGGTTGAATCACTTTGGGAATTTGAAAGCACCCACATAAGAGAGAGGGCTCTAGCCAGGTGCCGGTGGCTCACGCCTGTAATCCTAGCTACTCAGGAGGCTGAGATCTGAGGAACCCGGTTCAAAGCCAGCGCCCGAGCAGGAAAGCCGGTGAAACTCCTATCTCCAACAAACCACCAGAAAACCAGAAGTGGCGCTGTAGCTCAAGTGGTAGAGGGCTAGCCTTGAGCTGAAGAGCTGAGGGACAGTGCTCAATCCCAGACTTTAAGCCCCATGACCGACCAAAAAAAAAAAAAAATAGAGAGGGCTCTATTCTAGCTCAATATGATCAGAATGTCTGTAGTTGGGCCTGATGCATCAGTATTCTTAATTGGTAATTTTTTTAAGATGTGTCTTTTAAGAAAGTTGGATTCTCTTAGCGAGATTTCTTGCAAAGGAGTTTCTTAGCTGAAATCTTTTGAAGTGTACTTTTGAGAAAGTCGGTCCCAGTGTCCTTATAATCTTGAAAGGAAAAAAATACTTTCAAAACATTGACACATTGCATTCCTTAAGTTTTGAGTCATGTGTAGGATGAAAAGCAACTTACTGAAATTCTCTTTAGATGTTTACAAAACCCATCTAAAAAAGGATTCTTGAGTAAGACTCCATTTTCTTGTGGTAAGTTTGGTTCAGAACACTTAGCTCATTGTTATGCTTACCATTTTCTATGACAGAAGTCTGCATTACTTTGTCATTGTGTGATATTGATCACCACACAGAAGCTCTATTGTCCCATCAATGCAATGGGCCTGCAATTCCTCACACACTGTGTGGGTGACATAAAAATGGAAACTTCAATTGGGGAGTGCTATTTAGCATTAAGCTAATTGGATCTTGTTCTACTAAGAAAAAAGCAGTGTGGAATGTGTCTGACAGTTTGATACATCCTGAAGAATACACGTTTCTGTGTATAGAAACACTTGCTCCTGCCCTGTTGGTCTACCCCAAATGATCCAAAAAGCAGCTGTTGGGGCAGGGTCGGGGTGAGCAATGCTGCAGTGATTGAATTCTCTTTCCTTTCCTAGCTCCAGTGCAGATAGATGTCCAGTTCATCAATCAGCCCAGTTCTAGGCTGCCTCCCCGCCACCCAACCCCTTTGAATTAAAAATACAAACTGAAATTCAGTGAGTTTGACGAACTTTGTATATGTTTTATCTGAACATTTGAGTATGTCCTTAATGATATAGAAGTTTAACATCTAAAAAAGATTATTTGTGTAGGGGAAAAACTCAGTCAAGTTTAAGGAATTTAATATTTGACAGCTTTTTCAGGGAATTGTGAAACTATACATTTCTCTCTAGTTAATAATTATTAACGGTGGATCTTCCAGCATTTGAATCCTTTAGAGAATTAGGAACACCCTACAAATTTTAGAAGGAAAATAGTTAATTTATACACAAAATGTTTCATACCAAGAGTTTCTGTTTTTCTTTAAAAGGTAACTTTCGTAGAGAAAAGTAACAAAATCTAAATGCACAGCTTAATTCTCAGGAAGCTAAACTCAGAGGAATAAGAAAACATTATGCCAGAGGTCCCTCCTGCCTCCAGCAGTGTTTCATGGAGCAATGTGTGAATTTTGTCTGGTCTTAACCTTGTATATAAACTGGGGGTAGTGGTTATGGGGGAAGATTTGGCTTTATTTTGTTCAGTTATCTGATGTAGTACCATAGGTCATAGGTGAAACCTCACATTAGACTATATTCCATTGTTTCAATAGACTATAGGTTTTTTGTTTTTTGTTGTTGTTTGTGGTTTTTTTTTGGTCATTGTTATTGTTACTGTTTTTCCTGAGACAGGGACTAGCTATGCTACCCAGGGCCAGTCTTGGACTCCTGAGGTCAAATGATCCTCCTGCCAAATATCTGGGATTATACTTGGTTGGCCATACTTAACACATTTGCTGCATTTCGAACCAGATGTTCTCATTTAGAGGGTTCTTTCATAGAGGCTTCTAGAGGCGTTCATAGAGACCTTCAGAACCAACCTCTTAGCAAGGGGGAGAGGAGAACTTTAATGTCATATTTTTTTTTCTTTGCCAACTTTTCTATGTTTACTTCTCCTCCTTCTCTCCTCCCACTCTTGTGTCCGGGAGACTTTGGTGATGGTGGTGTGGGCCTTTTGATAGCAAAATTCCTTCATCTGGATCCTTCACCAGATACTCCATCTTATAGGGAAATGGGACAGGGAAGCAGGCACTTGCTGTAGTTTTTCCTCTTGCTTCTAGTAAGAGATTAAGAATCCAACTGTTTTTTTTTTTTTTCTATTGTTACTTTAAGTAACCACCTAGACACCTGACAGCTCCGTTGAGTGCCTCACAGAAATTAACCTACCAGGAAGCTATACTAGTTCTACGTTTGTATGCTTCTGGTGATATAGTCTTGAAATCCACGAAGCCCGAACTAGGAGATATTTGAAATTTATTGACACATAAACGACATTCAAGAGAATATATGCAGTTCAATGAGTTATTGTGGCGAGCTTCTCCTGTATTCGTGGTATACAGCCTTCCAGCTCATCACAGGGAGGCCTCCCCAATCCTGTGATTTTGCTGTTCCCTGAAGGTCATGGCTGTTCTCACTTCAAATATGATAGATAAGGTTTGTGTTTTTTAAAAACTCTGTAACAATATATATTCTCTGTGTTTGACTTCTTTCATTAATACGTTAATTTTTTTCTTTTTGTATGTACTGGAGTCTGAACCTCACGCTTGGTAGCAGCCAATCTACTACTTCAGCCATGTCTTCAGTCCTTTTTGCTATGTTCGTTATTTTTGATACAGTTAGCCTAGACTACAATCCTTCCCATGTGGGCTTCTTGCTGTAGCTAAGATGACAGATGTGTACCACCCTAACCAGGTTGAGATGGGATCTTGTGAACTTTTTTGCCCAGGTTTGTCTAGAACTTCATTCCTCCTCAATCCTACAACCTACTAAGTAGCCAGAATTATAACTATGAGCCCTTATGTCTGGTGTTAGTATGTTTTAAACAGCTTTTATGTTCTAACTTTTTGTTATTTTATTTCAGATGTATGGGAGACAAATTATGAGAGCTTACGTGTACTAAACGTTGAAAGAAATGGGAATATTATTTATACCTATAAGGTACATGTATTGTAGTATATATATATATATAAACATAACATTTAATATTTTAACTATACTTTCTTTTTACAGAATTCAAGGCTATACTTTGTTGATAGGCAATGGATAACACTTGTTGGTGTTAACATTTAACATATGACCTTGCTTTTGTATATATGGTACTGTATTACATGATTCATTTTTTCCATTTTAGGAAGTAAGTAACCAACATATCTGATATTTAAAACTTTTCAGTAAATGAAAAATTTTATTTTCTAGACAAATAAAAAATTTCAAGCCAAATTGTGTTAAAATTTTCTCTTTGAGAAGTTATTAAATACCTAGATATTCAGAGTTAGATTTTTGAGCCATTACTCCTGTTTTCAATATTCAGTTTTCTAAGAGAAATTCAACTTTATTGATAACTTTAACAGGTTACATGAAAGAATAGTTCTAATAGCAGTTTGCACACATGGACTTCTGTGCATTTTTTTCTGTTAGCTAAAAAAGTTACTAAGTTATATCTAAGGATGGTGCATTTAAAGTATCACCTGATTCAAAAGTTTCATTTAGAAGGATGTTGTGGATTTGTTCTAGCCAATCTTATTATCCATCATATATATCTCCTTAAAGGCACAAAAGGATTTTTCTTTTTCATCATGCTCAATCCTACTAGACAGGTGTCCGAAGTGCTAAGCTAGCATTGTTGATCTATTTTCCTCAGTATGCCCAAACAGGTAGCTGGGTCAGTTTCTGTGTCTTTTTGACATGTACAGCAAGCTTTTCTTCATGTGCTTATTGCTAAGACTAGATGAATTGTTGCACGTTTATTTCATTTTGTTTTTTGGTGCTAATCTTGGAGCTTGAACTCTGGTCCTGGGTACTGTCCCTGAGCTTTGTTGCTCAAGGCTACTCCTCTACCACTTGAGCCACAGCTCCACTTCCAGCTTCTTTGGTGATTTATTGGAGATAAGAGTCTCAAGAACTTTCCACACTGGGACTGGCTTTGAAACTTAATCCTCAAGTCTCAGCCTCCTCAGTAGCAGGGATTACAGGCATGAGCTACTGGTGCTTGGCTTATTGCAAGTTTATTTTAAAGCTACTGACAATTTTGTAAACAATGCTATCTAATAAACATCTTTTTAAAATGTTTTTAGGATGATAAAAGAAATGTCATCTTTGGATTCTATGATTGCCAAACCAAACAGAACAAGGTAAAAATCACCACAAATCATAGATAAAAATCTATCTACTTTTAGTTATATTACTTTTAGTAATAAAAACAGACTTTATTAAAATATAAATATATAATGATATATAAATGGAAAATATATTATTTTTATTACTGTTAGTTTTCTTCTTTTGCCTCATCTGTTTTCTAGATATAAAACTCATCTCACTCTCTAAAAATTTATATCTCTTTGCCTTCTTTCTCTTACTTTTAAAATTTTCTCCCAGTTTCTCTCTCTCCCTCTTTTTCCCCCTTCCTTCTCCCTCCCCCTGTCTCCTCACACTTGTACCTTAAAGTCTTGTCAGCTGAGACTTAAGTACATTGGCTCAAATCAAAATGTCCAGTATTCTGTTTGAGAAAAGAATGCAGGAAGTCCAGTGCCCTAGCCCTGATTTGTGTCCTGGGCATTTCACAATACCCTCTGGTCTTTCTGCTTCCGTGTGTTCGTTACTTGTCTTCTTAACAATCCAGGTGAGAAATGTAAGGCATTGGTTGGTATAGACAACGTTGTCTAATTCATAGGGCAGTAGAAGGTCATGGGCAGGACTCAGTTTGTCACAGACATCCTCCAACTTAAATGTACTGTGTCAATTCCAAATTTCTTATAGGCTATTCTTCCCTTTAGGTTTCTAATATGCTGCTTGGCTAATTCTCCCATGTTTTCCCCTTTTTCCACCTCTTCTATCCACACTCAGCGTAAAGGATTTTCATGACTGGATAACACACCTGCATATATCATACTGTAGTTTCATTGATCCATTGTTGACGTTGTTCTAGTTCTGTGGGACGCTTGCCTTCTGTTTAGTCTGTTTGGCTTCCTGTATCAAATTTCCTTTATTAAATTTAAACTTGCCTCCATATTTTCTCTTTTTTTTTTTAAAAAAAAAGAACATTTATGTTTTATTTTTCTTTACATTTAATTTTTAAAATTTTGGTTGAACCCAGAAGCTGGCACAATGTAGGCAAGAACTCTTACCACTGAGCTGCGTCCCTACCCTCTGTTCATTTGTAAAGATCCCCATTTGATTATATGATATCCTTTTTTCCTTTATTGTCAAACCCTAATTTAGAAAAACATAAAAGAAATGTTTTACCCATATTTTTGCTCTTTCTATTGTTCTTTCTTCCTTCCTCATAGGTCTGATTCCTTTTGTTGAACAATCATTTCCTTTGTTTTCTAAGAATTTGTTTTACTCATTATTTTAGGGTATGTTGATGGCTCTTTCTTACAGTTTCCCGGTCATCTGAATATGTCTTCTTTTATCCCTGGAGTATATTTATCTTTATTTTTGAAGCATAATTTATTATTAACATATATTTATATTTCTTCCTGAAATATAGAAGCCAAATCGACAGTTCTTTCCTTGCAGCACCGGAAACCTGTTGTGTCATTTCCTCGTGGGCTCCTGTGGGTGCTTGGGAGAGAACTGCTGTCACTTAAGCTTGCTCCTCCCAAACTTACAGTGTCATTTTTCTTTTCTAATTTCCAAAAAAGATCTTTTTTGTCTTTTATTTTCTGACTACTAATTTGAATTTGTCTCTTTGGATTTGTTTGGGTCGTTCCTGTGAGGGGTTCACATAGCTTGTAGAATCTGATGTCTTTTGTTCAGTATGGAGCATTTGCAGTCATCAGCTACTATTTTTTCAAATGTCTTAAAAAAATAAAACCTTGCCTTATTTTTTCCTCTCTTATTTCTCCAATGAAAGCTCATTGGATTGCTGTAATACCTAGAAGTGAGTTAAATGCTTATCTGTAGTTTTTTGTTGTTGGTGGTGGTGAAATTATTAGGCCATTCAAGGATTAAGAAACCACTGATAGCTGAGGTGGCTGGTGCTATAATCCTAGGTACTCAGGAGGCTGAGATTTGAGGATTAAGGAATGAAGTCAATCTGAGCAAGAAAATCCATGAGACTCTTATCTCCATTTAACCATCAAAATCTTGTGACTCAAGTATTAGAGCACTAACTACCTCAAGCACAAAAGCTCAGGAGCAACAGCCAGGCCCAGGACTGGTACACACACACACACACACACACCTCAAAAAGAAATAAAAAGAAAAAAAAAACCTAAGAAGCAGTGATGTATACTGACACTATTACATGAAAAAGAGTTGCCAGGATAATAAATTCCATTTATGTTTTATAAAAAGCTTCTAAGAAAACTCAGAAGGCTGTGGACATGGTTCAAGTGGTAGAGCAACTGCTGAGCACCTATGAGACCCTGAGTTTAAACCCCAGTACCTCACCTCCCCCCAAAAAGAAGAAAAGAAACTATCAAGTGCAATGGTACAATATATATTGAGATGATTTTAAGACATGGAAGATTAAAGAATAAATTTACAAACACACTTCCTTTTGGAATAGAGTTGAGATGGCTGAGTGTACCATAAGATTTCAACTTTTTATTGTTGCATTAAAAGTTGCAATGTTTGTATTTTTTAAGCATTGAGACTATGCTCATGTGTTACTTTATGATCCAAAGTTTTAAACATTAAAATAAGTGTACGCATGTGTGTACTCATAATTCTAAATTAGAATCCCACAGAGTAAGTTAAAGAAACCCAAATTTTTTCACTAGATTTAGTGTGTTCTTATTAACTCAGAGTTCACTTTTTCTAAGTGTTTCCTGACTTCTCGGTACTTGGCACTAAGTTTTGACTATGCAGCTCTAATGTATTCGCAATAATGTTTTTAGTCTGCAAGTATTAATTATCTTGTGAATACTTCTACTATTCACTGTTTCTCTCAGCCTGTTCTCTCCTGAAGACTGAGGCTCCATCTTCTCTTCTGTCTCTGAGTGTATTTTAAATGAGTTTGCCTAACTTAATTGATTGTTTCCTCATCCTCTTTCTGTGTGGCTATTTCATTTTCAAACAATTAGAATCCAAGCCAGGTGTCTGTAATCCTAGCTTATTAGAAGGCTGAGAATTGAGGATCAAGGTTCAAAGCTGGAGGGGGGTGCTAAAAACTCCCCAGGAGACTCTTATCTCCAATTAACCACTCAAAAACAAAACAAACAAACAAACAACAACAACAACAAAAACAGAAGTGGAGCTATGGCTCAAAGTGCTAGAGCATCTAGCCTTGAGTGAAAAAGCTCAGGGACAGCACCCAGGCCCTGGGCTCAAGTCCCATGACCCACAAACAACAACAACAACAACAGATGGGTCAGGCCTGTAATCCTAGCTACTCAGGATTGAGGATCGCAGTTAGAAGCAAGCCCTGGCAGGAATGTCTGTGAGACTCTTATCTCCAATTAACCACCAGAAAACCGGAAGTGGCGCAGTGGTTCAAGAGATACAACGTTTTCCTTGAGCTGAAGAGTTCTGGGACAGTGCCCAGCCCCAGAGTTCAAGCTCCATGACCCAATAAAAAAATAGAATTAGAATCCTTTGATTTCAGTTTTATTTTGTTTTTGAGGTAGGCTCTCATTATATAGTCTAGGTTGGCCTTGGACTTAGTCCCCCCTTAACCCACCTGAGTGCTGAGATTACAAATATGTGTCACTATGCCTGGCTTCTATTGATATTTTGGACATTCCAAACAGCAATGAGAAAACAAGATTAAATATAGAAACATTTTTTTTTTGCTAATCCTTTAAGTAAAAAAAATGCACTTTGACAATCTTTGAGACTTAACTTCTGATGGTCAATAATGTGATTTGCTTTAAAAATTTCACTTTAATGATTCTAATACTAATATTTGAGTGGTTGTTATGAGCGGTACACATTTTACTAAGTCGTTCATGCTCATTATCTCTCTTGCTCCTCTCAATCCCGTGAGGCAGGTATTATGTTTTTGTTTGTTTGTTTTGATCGGTGGTGAGGTTTGAACTCTCGGCCTGGGAGCTGTCCCTCCAGTCCCTCAAGGTGAGGACTCTACAAGTTGACCCACAGCGCCACTTCTGGTTTTCTGGTGGTTAATTGGAGATAAGAGTCTCAAGGACTTTGCTGCCCTGGCTGGCTTTGAACTACGATACACAGATCTCAGCCTCCTGAGGAGCTAGGATTACAGGCCAGGAGCCACTGGTGCCCAGCTGGTATTATGTTAAGGGGGCAGAGTTTGAATAAATTGTCCAGTCACATAGCAAGTGGCAGAGTTAAGACTTAAAGCTCAATCACCACTCATGGATAAGTTTCACTGCCAAATATGCCCTGACAGCAAATTTTGTGTGTTAAAAAAAAAATCCAAAAAGTTTCAGCATGAGTAAACGAATTGAGGATTCATTGGTAAAAATCTTGTACCACAATAATACTTGATACAGAGTTCAACGGGAATTTATCTCCATGCAATAATCATTTGATATAAAACTCCAAATTAATCATTTTTGTTTTAATAGCATCTTTATACCTTTGAAAAAGACTTGCAAGTCATTAGTGGCTCTATCAACAGTGAGAAAACATTGCTTGGTAAGTTGAACTCTTACTGCTACATGTCAAGAACTAAACTATGCCATTTAAGAATTTTAATGTATTGGATTTTGCAACATTTGATCATTCTATAACAATGCTTTTCCGGAAGAGAAATATTCTTTTGGAAATTAGATTTAAAATGAAGAGTCTGTAGGGCATCCCTACCAAAAAAAATTAATTCTTTGTATTTTATTATTTGAAGTTTTACTTATTTCTATATAAAACCATAATAAGCCACTACATGGATCGATTGCTAATGGATTTTTTTTCTTTTTCAATTAGCTGCAAGTTTAGTTCAATCTACTGAAGAAAGAAGAAGGAATGAGCTTCAACCAGGTAATGAAATTATACTTTTTTTTTGTAAATAAGATGGGTAGAGGAAGATTAATTGGACTAAATCAAAGTTCAGTCATTAGAAATATCTTTCTCTTAGAATGAAAAGGCAGTAGTCATTTACATTTAAGCGTGAGCAAGATTTTTTTTGAAGTTTTTGTTTTTCAGGTAAAGAAGATGGTACAGAAACTAATACAAAAGTAAACTATCAGAAGCATTAAAATGACAATTAGCTCCTGAACATTAAACAAACGCTGAAGATACATTGAACCTATGGCCAGCAGCTACTGTATAGTGTTGGGAAAGTCATACTTAGCATTTTTTAAATAACTGCTGAATACATATGCATGGATGCAAAATAAAAATGAATTCTAGCTTGGTGATGGTGACTCATACCTGTAACTCTAGCTACTCATGAGACTGAGATCTGAGGAAAGGGAAGATCTGAGGAGGTGTGGCACAAGTGTAGAGTGCCAGTCATTTCCTGAGAGAAAAAGCTAAGGTACCATGCCTATGCTCTGAGTTCAAGCTCCAGTCCTAGCATCAAACAACAACAACCCCCCCACCCCAACCTAATTCTACTCATTGGCCAACATCCAATTTATGGCTGATAATGATCTATTAATTAAAAAAATCCTGTATCATCTACAGCTCAACAGTATTGAATATCTGCTGCGGGTCAAGTACTCTTTATGGTCCCGGTGACACGATGTCTGTAAGAAATTGGGTGACCACCTTTCTAATCTAATTTTCCAGTGCAAATGTACACAATGGCTCGAAAGTCCAGGTTAATAAGTGAAGAAGATGTAGTGTAAGAACAATGAAATGTCTTTGTTGTTCCATTTTTAACATAGCAACCAAGAAAGAGTTCCTCTTAATGAAAAGGACTAGTGAGGGGGTGGGAAGGGGTGTGTGTCCCTCTTTGGAGACATTGAGGAAAAGGCAGTCTTCAACTCCAGCTTTTTGTTGTCATGTGGGGTAGGTTATACAATGGGACCAACTTTTAATTAAGAGAACTTTGGATTTCATTTAAAAATCGAATTTGTAAACATTAACTCATGTATATATCTAATTTGTATATATAATCTAGTTTATATATATCTTATTTGTATGTATATTGTATACATATGTATGTATATATCTAATATATAGATATATGTACATATGCATATTTGCTGGGGCAATGCTAAGCACCACAGGCTGGCACTGGCCTGTAGACTACGGTTTTTAAGTCTCCGTTTTTGTGGCTTGCCTAGCAGTCCCTTACTGTCTGGTCCCAGGTGCTTTCCATCTGCTCTGTTTACTTGGCACTTCAGTTCCTTCTGGTGTTAGCATAGTTCTCTGTGTCTGCGTGGGATGGAAAAACCCTTTGCACATACTTTCCACAGGAGCCTTGTGAGGCTTCTTGGGAACACTCATTTTCTCCCAGTGGAATCTGGATAGGGTCTTCTTGGCCCCCTCAGCAAGGGTTTAGGAGAAACGGCAGGGGGCAGGAGGTTTCCTCTGAAATTTCGTCTCGTGAATTTTTTGCTGGTGCTAGGGCTTGAACTCCAGACTTTGGCATTGTCCCTGAGCTTTTTTTGCTCAAGGCTAACACTCTGCCACAGCACCACTTCTGGTTTTTGGTGGTTAATTGGAGAGAAAAATTTCTAGATTTTGCTACTGGGGCTGGTTTTGAATCACGAGTCTCAGACCTCAGCCTCTTAAGTAGCTAGGATTACAGGAGTGAGTCACTAGCACCTGGCTTGAAATCTCATGGCTTTTGTTACATACTCTTATCTTCCCCTGCCATGACACAGACTGAGAACTACCAACCACCATATTGTGGTCTGTTTCCCCCCTCCCCCGCCAGCCCCCACTTCTGTGCTCTGTCCTTCTCTTCCCATAGTGTAAGCAAGATATGATCTGGATCACTGATATCCTGACCCCCTCCCCAGCCCAGCCCAGGACAAGGGTGTGGAACCCCCCCCCCCCAGTTCTATTCCTTTTAGCCTTAGAGCTTTTCTACTATGCTACTTAACCTAGTAGTAACTGATTTTCACTTGATGCTTATCATCCATACCTCATGTGGAGCAAGTCCTTATTGGCTATACATTGTTACAAAACATACTTTCAGATTTAAAGTTAATTTACATACAACATTAAATCTATCCAGATATTCTTGCTCAGTCTTGTAAGCTTGTAACTGTGGTGATATTATCTTCTCACATCTTTAAAAACATTAGAATAAAGATAGTCACTTATTATACTGGGGAATCCTGTAGTTTTCCAGCTTGGCTCACCTTTCATGCCAGCCACTGAGAGGAGAACCAACTCTGCCCTGGGGTAATCTGACCGTATCTCACCTCAGCCACCCAGCTACTTCTTGCTTTCTGCTTAGGGCCTTTGGGACAATCTATTTATTACCCACCCATGTTTAGCCTAGAAGAATGGTTGGAATAATGGATAGTATGGCAACTCAAGACTGGTGGGGATCGGGATCTAAAGGACAATTATCTCCCCTTCCCTTCCTAAGATAGGTGATTTGGTGAAGAGACAGCTTCAGCTCCACGGTGGCCACTTATTGGCTGATGCCCTTTGGTGTGTGTCTTTCTCCTGGTTCATTCTCTTCAGCCCCTCCCACCAGGCCTTCATGGCTAGAGTGATCCTGTCCCCTGATGTAACTTCCTGTCTTAGTTTGAGTTTCCTTATAAGTACAATCTAGATACCAATTTTAGGATGATCCTAGAAAACACTGCTGGGGGACTGTTTAAATAGATCTAAAAGATCAAGATGCATTGCACTCATCAATGATATGTTGAATTGAAACCCCTTTGTATAACCAAAGATAATTTTTAAAAATGAAAAAAATAAATATATAAAAGAAAAGAGGGAAAAGCACATTTATGGTAGAATCAACAGCCAGAACCAAGGTCCTGAAGCCCAACTATACTCGGCAGAGGCCAATGAGGCTGAAATAAGATGACCCAGGAGTAGAATGGGAAAAAAAATGGAGGGCATAGGAAAGTGGAGATGAGTGCAAGCTGCTCATGTAGATAATAGGAGACCATTGAAAAGACTTGGTCTTCTCTACAAGTGAAGTAGAAAATCAGTGTGGATTTTGATCAGGGGAGTAATCAGACTCTGTGTGTGTGTGTGTGTGTGTGTGTGTGTGTGTGTGTGTGTGTATTTGCCAATACTGGAGCTTGAACTCAGGGCCAGAGCACTGTCACTTTGCTTTGTTGCTCAAGGCTGGCACTCTACCATTTGTGCCATACCTTGGCTTCTGGCTCTTTATTGATTAATTGGGAAGAAGACTCTCATAGTCTTTTTTTGAATCATGATCTTCAGATCTCAGCCTCCTGAGTAGGTAGGATTGTAAGTGTGAGCCACTATGCCTGGCTTTGAACAGATACGTTTTGAAAAGTTTATTTTTTTCTGTACCAGAAGTTGTAAGTCATTTGATTAAAGAATATAGTTTGCCTCTTAAGTATTAATACTCTGTCACTTAAAGTGAGATTTTTATCACTGCAAAAGAGACTGTAACACTTCCATCTACCCTGTGCTATACATGGTCATTGTGCTTCCAGTCCTGGGGCCTGAACTCGGGGCCTGGGCGCTGTCCCTCAGCTCTTCAGCTCAAGGCTAGCGCTCTACCACTTGAGCCACAGCACCACTCCTGGCTTTTTTCTTTTTGCTTATGTGGTGCTGAGGAATTGAACCCAGGGCCTCAGGCATGCAAGGCAAGCGCTCTACCACTGAGCCACCTTCCCAGCCCTTTTCTGGTTATTTTTGAAGAAGGACCTTGTAAATTATTCTATTCAGACTATCCACAAACTGTGATTTTTGCTCTCAGCTTACCAAATAACTAAGATTACAGGCATGAGTCACTAACACCCATCTGCAAGGCTCTTTTGGGGTCCTGAAGAGTGGAACTAGGGCAGCATTGTAGTTAGTGTCACCTCAAGGATTAGATAATGATGGTAGAATTGCTTTGTTACTTCACAATGGGTGTAGTAGGATATACAGGGGGATCATTTCCTATTTGCTTTGGAAAAAGTAGCACATGATATTCAAGTGTTCATTACCAACAATCTCTTTTTGTCTCTGTAGGCTCAAGGTGCCTGACTTTGCTGGTGGAAATCTACCCTGTGAATAACGTGAAAGTTCTCAAAGCAGTGGATAGCTATATTTGGGTACAGGTAAGCAAGCTATCATTTATCACTTGTGTCATTCATAAGACGACATGAGACCCAGGGGATGAGGTGTTTTCAAAGTGCTTTTGCACACATTATCCCACTCAGTGTTCAAAGTAATCTTGCAGATGGGCTGGGTGGGAAGCACAGTTCTTCAAATGAAGAATTTAGACCTAGCTTTCTTGATGCTGCTAAGCCAGGACTTGTCTCCTAGTAAGGCAACGCTGCTCCACGATAAAATTCCCAATAGTAAGAGGCATTCACAGTAAGCTTTAGAGTAGTTTATTTTGTGTAGCCACATGGTTGACAGATTAATAAATGATTTAATAAGTTCCTGAATTTATCAACACTGTGAATTGTCACAGAGATGCTTTGTGGGCTGAAGGCAAGGTTCAAGTGATAGAGCACTTGCCTAGCAAGTGTGAGGCACTGAGTTCAAACTCAAGAACAGAGAGGAGGGGAACACTTTGTGGATAATATAGGTGAACTAGGCCACTCTGTTCCTCTTTTCCTCTTCCTCTTTTTGTTGGGACAGTCTCTTTATGTGGCCCCAGCAAGCCTCAAACTCATGATATTTTTGTCTTCCCCTTCAGAGTGCTAGAATTATAGGCACGCACCATCATGCTTGGCTTTAGCCAGTCTTCTTCATTTGCAGATTCCATGTTTGTGAATTCTCCTATTTCCTATAATCTATTCACAAAAATTAATATTTAGGACACTGCCAGTTATTTGCCAACATGTCAAGGAGGAACAAATTGAGACGCCTGGCTTGCATGCTTCCAACTATAGTTGAAGAAGTCAATATTCTATCTTGTCATTGAAGCCTTCATATGTACAAACGTTTTTACTCTTTAGTACCATGGTTTTTTAATTTTTGTGATTTTTTGTTGTTCCTTTTGCTGATCCTAGGGCTTGAACTTGGCCTGGGTGCTGTCTCTGAATTTCTTTTGCTTGAGGCAAGTGCTCTACCACTTAAACCACAATACTACTTCCAGATTTTTTGAGTAATTTATTGGAGATAAGAATCTCACCGAGTTTCCTGCCCAGGCTGGCTTCGAGTTGTGATCTTCAGATCTCAGCCTCCTGAGTAGCTAGTATTAAAGGTGTGAGCCACCAGTGCCTGGCTAATTTTTGTGCTTTTTGCTAGAGGCTTTACTGTTTCAGTGGCCTCCCAATGTCATGCTTACGGGCTGTCTAGTGTTCCTAAGGGTGAGAAGGCTTTGATGTGTCCAACAAAGGAAATATGTTACTTGATGAGCTTCATTCAGACATGAATTACAGTGTTGTGAACCATGAACTCAGTACTAATCAAATCAACAGTAGCTGTGCATAGGCTCTTTAAGCAGAAATACAGAAAAGAAAATGTGATGTGTTCATCTGTTGATAAGAATATCATGAACAGGCTGAGTACAGTGGCTTATACTTGTAATCCCAGATGCTTAGGAGGTGGAAATCCATGTGTGTGTTTGGGAGTGGGTGGGGGGTTGTGGCTCAAAGCCAGCTCAGGCAAAGTTAGTGAGATGCCATCAGTAAGCCAGGTGTGGTGGTGTGTGCCTGCGGTTCTAGCTGAGCGTAAGGCCATAGTCAGGAGGATCATAGCCCAGACCAGCCTAGGCCAAAAACATAAAATTCACTGGTGGATCTTACTGTAAAATGTCTTTCATGCCATAAAAGAGGATGGCTGATTTGCTTTGCCATTACTCTGCCAATGATGAGAGCATTATGTCACTGGAGTTTCCCTCCATTCTTCTAGCTGACTGGGTCAGGTCTCACGGTGCTGTCGCCTGCTTTGTCTTATAGGCAGAAATTTAGTGGAGCCCTACAGAGTTGCTCATAAAGAAGGAATGGGGTGAATTAAACCTTTTCTCTATGATTCTTCTGTTTGAGGCTTGTAAATTGTCACCTTCATGCCACACAGTGACTCACTGTCTTTTCTTGGGAAGTCCCTGGTTATACAGTGCTGGAAGTTGCAATGGGGATTATGTTTACTTGGCTCTGAAATTGCACATGAGACTTAGTTGTACAACGGATACCTGGATGACTCTTTTTCTCTGTGTGAAATAGAACATGTAATATAAATGTTGGATTGCTTCTGATTAGCTTCAGAATCAAATATTCCACATGAGCACCATCCACCCATGGAGTCAGTGTCAGACTTTGCTTTGTTTACATGCAAGGGAAAAAGTGCTGGGCTGGAGATCACTTCTCCTAGACAACTGAGGTCCTGACAGGACAAGGATCCCTGCTCTGCTTGCTGTGTGTGTGTGTGTGTGTGTGTGTGTGTGTGTGTGTGTTGATTCCCCTGTGTCTTTTGTATGGTGGGTACTAGCACAGTGATCAGATACAATCTTTGAAGTATTTGTACCAACAAAATTATAATTTTGACTAACCTCATTTTTTATAGTTCCTCTATCCATATGTTGAAAGTCACCCTCATTCCCAGAATCACCTGTTACTGATTTCAGAAGAGAAATGTAAGTGCATCTTTAGGGGTGTGTGAATGGCAAATCATCACCTAGTGAAAGGCGAGACACATTTCTGAGAGTCTGCTGTTTTTTTTTTTTTTTTGTGTGTGTGTGTCAGTCATGGGGCCTGAACTCAGTGCCTGGGTGCTGTCCCTGAGCAATTTTGCTCAAGGCTAGCCCTTCAGCACTTTAAGCCACAACCCCACTTCTGGTTTTCTGGTGGTTAGTTGGAGATAAACGTCTCACAGACTTTATTACCTGGGCTGGCTTCAAACCCTGATCCTCAGATCTCAGCCTCCCGAGTAGCTAGAATTACAGGTGTGAGCCACTAGTGCCAGACATCTACTGACTTTTGATGTCCCATTGAGACCTAGAATTCCCGTGGAAGAGCTTTGCCTTTGGCCCACACTGCTGCTCTGTCAAGCTACCCCTATTTCCTTACCTTGAGCCTTTGTACAAGTAGAGTGTTTGTACAACAGTTGTACCAATCTTTTTTTTTTCTTCTTTAGGATGTTTGTCACAGTGGCCAACTGTAATATAAGGAGAGAGGCATGCATAGAGAGAAAGTTTGATAGGGGCAGATTCCAGGGTACATGCATATGAACTTGGCCAAATTCGAGTAGAGGCATATCAAATTTGGATGTAAGAGGTTATGGCCCCCAGAAGAACAAAGGTTGCATATTTCCCCTAATGTGTGTATAGATAAGTAAATATGTTTGGTGCTATGCAAGTGTATACAAATGTATTAACTGAAAGATAAAGCCCAACAAAACAAATACCAGGAAGCAGGTACTTGAAAGGGTTGGGTGGAGTCAAGGAGAGATGATTGAAGAAGAGAAGAGGGGGAGAATGCAGTCAATAATTCAATATATAACCCACACAATTAAGAAAAGTGAAGGAAGGTTTGGGTTAAGAGGGATGGGTGAGAATGTTGGAAGGGGTGACATTGATTGATCAAGATGCATTGTATTCATAAACCGCTTTGTTAAATGGCCACTCCTTTACACAACTACTTAACATGAAAAAGAGGTTATATTCTTTTATGATGTTTTCAAAGTTATGAAAGAGAAAGGATGAATTCAGTGGTGCAACTTTTCTAGTAAGCTGTCTTTCATGGTGTAATATAAACTGCTGATTTATAGTTGGGTGAATAAACCACGCTTGTTTTTCTGTTTCACATGTTTATAAGTAGAACAATTGAAAGGTAAGTGTGACTGAATCTAAATTTTTACTGATAAGGGACCATCTCCAAGTGTCTCAGAGTGTTTGAAGCTTTGTTTATGTGAAACTGACCCCTATGAAAGTACCTCTCTCAAATAGTGTATAATAGTTCCTATCTACATTAATTTAAAAACACATTCAGTACTAGGAAATTGAAGATAACCTCTGCTAAGAGGAATTGTCAATCCTTTATATATCTGATCTCATAGGTGAGGCAAACACTGTTTGAGGGAAGAAGGGGTACAGAAAATCCAAATGTGTCATGCATTCTTGATACTAAAGATTGGACTAGGCAGAGCATGGTGGCTCATGCCTATAATCCTTTCTACTTGCGAGGCAGAGGCTGGGAGGATTGAGGTTGGAAGTTAGTAGAGTTAGAAGAGTTCATGAGACCCATGGTGCATGTCAGTTTTACCCACTACTGTGGAAACAGAAATTGAAGGACCACAGTCCAGGCTGGCCAATGGAACACATGCAAGACACTCTCTGAAAAATACCTAAAGCCAAAAGGATTGAAGGTGGTGTGGCTCAAGTGGTAGAGCACCTGCCTAGCAAGTGAAGACCCCAGTACCATCTCCCACCACATAATAAAAAAGAATGTAGTAAATAAGGGTTTTGAGATAGACTGTAAAAAGATGATGGAGAAAGTTGTGTCTGTGTGTAAGCATATGTATTATCATGCAGTATATAAAGATATTGTTTTATAAGTATTTGTTTAATTAGTTTTGTAAAAATTGGTTCACAACTGGTAGGCAAAAAATACTGATATTCTCCCTGAATGTTAACTTTTTTCTTTTTCTTTCTTTCCTTCCTTTCTTCCTTCCTTTCTCTCTCTCTCTCTCTCTTTCCTCCTCGTCCTCGTCCTCGTCTTCATCCTCCTTCTCGTCCTCCTCCTCCTCCTCCTCCTCCTCTCCCTTCTTCTTTTTAAAGATATTGAGCAAGTTCATATCCAGGTGACCCAAGAAGATGGAGATACAGTGGTAAAGATTTGAAATTCCTTTTGCCTTAGAATTTTCTTACTCAAAACACTGCATTTCTTTTAACTTTATTTTTTATTAGCATACACACATGTATTTCTATTCTGTTAAAGATAGATCAATGCTTTTGATGTGTCATATTTTCTTGATGCCTTTCAAATGATTCATTTGGTGTTGTAATATGTGAAACAAAGAATGACCTATGAAGCAGTTAGGTATCTCCTTTTTCTTTACTTCATCCCCCATCCTGAGTCTAACAATAACAGTAACTAATGATGAAAACCTTGCTCATGAAAACTTGTAAATGATTATGTGCATATGTGGGAAAAATACATTTTTTTTTACCACAAAAGAATCGTCACATGTACTCTTACCTGCTTTTAGGATTGTTCTTTACTTAGTAGATAAAAGTATATAGGTTACTAAGCAGGGTGTAGTTGGGCATGTCTGTAATTTCAGCATTCCCATCTGTCTTTAATGGTGAAGGCTTCTTGTCTGCAGAGGCCATATTGAGAAGCTTATGTCCATAACAGGAAGCTATGAATCTTTATGTTCATGTTGGTTTATGGTAGGTGTTGTCTTGCCTTTGCTAGGCCCAACTTGTCTATTAAACTAATAACAAGAATAAAATAAGCCCAGTGCTGGTGGCTCATGCCTGTAATCCTACTACTGAAGAGGCTGAGATCTGAGGATCGCAGTTCAAAACCAGCCCGGGCAGGAAAAGTCCGTGAGACTCTTATCTCCAATAAACCACTAGAAAACTGGAAGTGGCACTGTGGTTCAAGTGGTAGAGTGCTCTCCTTGAGCTGAAGAGCACAGGGACAGCGCCCAAGCCCAGAGTTCAAGCCTCACGACCGATCACCCCCCCACAAAGAAGAATAAAATAGTATTGAGAGTTTGGGAAGAAGAAGTAGTGATGTTGTAAAAGTCTTCTGTGAAATCTGTGTATGTTTTGTGTGTGGAAGAAGTGCAAATAACAAAGGAGAGCTGTTTACATGTATCGTGGGCACAAAATAATGATTTCATGTATTTCCTTTTTAAATAAATTTATTTATACAATATTTTACCTCCTTAGGTAATTAAAAATTCTGACCATCTCCCCAGAGACAGAATAGCTGAGGATTTTGTTTGGGCTCAGTGGGATATGGCAGAGCAGAGATTATACTACATCAACCTGAAGGTAAAAATTAGTGCACAGGTACTCCTTTAAGGGAACAGCTTGGTTTTAACCATTACTCTAATTCATTAATTACTATATTTTGTTGATGGGAGCAGTCAGTGAGGGTTTATTAGAAATAATGCAAAGTTTTTTTATTACTACTTTTAGTTAGACTGTAGCTTCTGTCTCTCCTTTCTCTTCCTTTCTCCTTCCCCCATATTTTTAAGTGTTTTTTAAAGGTAATATATCACAATGTTTTATGTTTTAGAAATCAAAGAGTATCTTAAAATGCATCCAGTTTTATGCTGACAAGAGCTTTAACTTAATGGTAAGTCCAGAGAGAATGGTTACTCCCAGGAAATTTTTATGTTTTCCCTCCCCCAGGTCCCCCCTTTTAAGAGAATTGCAACTATAAAGAACATTTTAGTATTTTGGGTATTAGTCACTTGCATGAGCAAGTTAAATAGTTCTGGTCACCAGGGGTGAGAACAGCACAGGAAATCCCCACCACCAAGCATTTTACATCAAGAAAGCATGTTTTAAGAGTGGGACTCAGTAAGAGGTAAAAGATGTGGTCTATAGTAAGTAGATTTAAGTTCTTGCAAGTTATGTGACTCAAAACACTTGTGAAGATAGTGGAATTGAGGGCCAAGAAAAAGAGCCAATAAGAGCGTATATTAGTTAAAGAGTGTAATTACTTAAAATACAGCTGTTGGGAAAGTTACTGACAGAGCGTTTATGTAAGGTATCACTACTGTGTTTAACTGTGATGGGTGGCACCGCCATCTTTTTCACTACACTGTTGTTGGTCTGTCGCAGAGATTGTTTTTGTACAATTACAAGACTTCCCTTTTTTGGCTTACCTACCCTTTCTGGGGTCACTCAGCTCTCCATTCCTTACATGGTCATCTGTGTCTTATGAGAGGCTGTGTTTTCCATTGCCTGATACAACCTTGTTAATGATACTCCAAGTTAGCCTAAGTTTTCACCTTTCCTGAGATAAGCATGCACCATACTCACGGTCATTCATAAACTCTGGAGTATTCCCAGTGGACTTCCTGTGCTGTGGATTGGGATGTGGCCTTTGAAGAAGATAATGACAGCGAATGGGCTCTTCATCATTAGCCAAGCACAGCACTGCTAGGCTCATTCCCGGAGGGTCATGTTTTGAGTTCATTTCCTCCTGGTCTTTTTGACAGTTCGAAACACCGCTGGACATATCATTAAAAGACTTGGGTTTTAAGTAAGTTATTCACAGATTGTTATTAAATTAATAGATACTAGTAGGTCAAATGATTATACTTATTCTTAGTTCATGGTATACATAGTATACAGATAAAAGGAAAAATTGATGTTCTGTGTGTGTGTGTTTTTTTTTTTAAAAATACTTCTGTGCTTTATAGGGAATAAAACAACTTTACCAAGCATGAACTTGAAATGTCACATGAAAAGTCAATTGTGTTGATTTTCTTTAGCCATTTATTTCTGTAGGGCTTCCATTTATTTTGTTGTATGGAAGCGCTTGTCTCCCTGTGATTAAATAAAGAGATGGAATGAATCAGAGAGAGCTGCATTTAGAACCAAACATCAACCTGTTTCTTCCTTGCCAGCAAGACGATATCACAGGCCAACCTTCTTTCAGCTTGGCTGAATCTATTGTTTTATTTTTTGTGTTTTTCTTTTTTACATAGAAGAAAAGTTTTTTTTTGTTTTTCCATTATAGTTTTCCTTCCTCTTTAACTATAATTTTATACTAATTTTCTTCTTATAAAGCCACAGAAGACAGTTTCAAAAAAATGAACACAAGGTCATTAAAACACAGAATACTCTTCCTGAATTAAAGATAGTTACAAATAATGAAAGATTACATATTCCACTAGCTGCATTTTACATTTTATCATGTATAGAGCTGGGTGCCGGTGGCTCACGCCTGTAATCCTATCTACTCAGGAGGCTGAAATCTGAGGATCACAGTTTAAAGCCAGCCCAGGCAGGAAAGTCTATAAGACTCTTATCTCCATAAAAACCACTAGAAAACCAGAAGTGGCATGGTGGCTCAAGAGGTAGAGCACTTGCCTTGAACTGTAGAGTACAAGCCCAGAGTTCAAGCCCCATGACTGACAAAACAAAAACAAACAAACAAAAAAACCATGTATGAATGTTTAGTTGTGCCTGTTTTGAAACATATTTTTCAGAGTATTTTTGCTATCATAAAAATTATTAAATAGGGCTGGGAAGGTGGCTCAGTGGTAGAGTGCTTGCCTTGCATGCCTGAGGCCCCGGGTTCCATTCCTCAGCACCACATAAGCAAAAAGAAAAAAAAAGCCGGAAATGGTGCTGTGGCTCAAGTGGTAGAGTACTAGCCTTGAGCTGAAGAGCTGAGGGACAGCGCCCAGGCCCAGAGTACAGGCCCCACGACCGGACCCAAAAAAAAAAATTATTAAATACAAATTGTAAGTAACTTTTTTCTCCTTTGACAGGCTCATATTTATGTCCTGTGTATCATGTATTTAAAAATATATTTATGTACCATTATACTAAAAAACCCACTTTCTTACTGATGAAAAGTTGTTTACTTAGGGAGAATATCTACTTCTATAGATATATCATAGTAGTAACTATACCTTTTAAGAAGGAATGTATTGTTTTTTTTTTGGGTCCGGTTGTGGGGCCTGAACTCTGGGCCTGGGCGCTGTCCCTCAGCTCTTCAGCTCAAGGCTAGCACTCTACCACTTGAGCCATAGTGCCACTTCCGGCTTTTTTTTTCTTTTTGCTTATGTGGTGCTGAGGAATTGAACCCAGGGCCTCAGGCATGCCAAGGCAAGCACTCTACCACTGAGCCACCTTCCCAGCCCAAGGAATGTATTTTTAAATGCATTCAGTAATTTATTTTCCTTTATGTTCTTAGACTTGTCAACTTTGGGTGTGAATATCATCAAGATACATTATCCAAACAGTCGACTCTCTGTGTTTTTACCAACCATACAGGTAAGAAGAATTAGGATTTTACTTAACAACTTATTCAACTGTACTTCAGTGCTATACAAACTAATTACTGGATAGTTTAGATATGTGAATCATGAAAAGGAAATATAACAGAGACACCTTATTATATAGGTAATCACATATGTGATAAATTATCTTTTCTCTCTCTGTATATATATATATATATTTTGGTCATGGGGCTTGAACTCTTTGATTCAAGGCTAGTGCTCTACCACTTGAGCCACAGTGCCACTTCCGGCTTTTTCTGCTTATGTAGTGCTGAGGAGTTGAACCCAGGACCTCATGAATGCAAGGCAAGCACTCTACCACTGAGCCACCTTCCCAGTCCCATCTTCTCTCTATTTTTTTTTTACTTGGTTTTACTTTTTTCTTTTAGTGCAGGGGAGGGAGCCCAGAGTCTTGACATGTCTTAACCACTGAGTGACACCCCTGATTTCTAACACTATAACTATATATATATTCTCTCTGTGAAAGAAACCAGTCAACAGAATTGCTGTTCTAATAGCAGTTGAGTTATTTTAATAGACCAGGTGGATTTGTACTTAATGAATCCACATTTTTTTGGTGGGGAGGAGGGTTTGGGTTGTAGGGCCTGAACTCTAGGCTTGGGTGCTGTCCCTCAGCTCTTCAGCTCAAGGCTAGTGCTCTACAACTTGAGCTATAACGCCACCTCTGGCTTTTTCTGCTTATGTGGTACTGAGAAATTGAACCCAGGGCCTCATGCATGCTTCAAGGCAAGCACTCTACCACTGAGCCACCTTCCCAGCCCCAATCAATCCACATTTTATCACCTCCCTCTTCCCCTCCCCCCCTCTGTGTACTGATACCAGGGCTTGAACTCAGGGCATGGGCACTGTCCCTTGCCTTTTTTGCTCAAGGCTAGCACTCTACTACTTGAGCCACATATCCACTTCTGGTTGAGATAAGAATCTTATGGGCTTTTCCATCCAGGCTGGCTGTGAACCATAATCTTCAGATCTCAGCCTTCTAATCAACTCGGATTTCAAGCCACCAGTAGAAGGTACCTGCTCCATCTTTTCATGAGCAGGGATGAGGATGCTTTCTATGTCAGCCTTATTGTTATGTTTGGATTCTAAAACTATACACTGACCTTTAAATGCCAGTCTACAGAGTGCTGTTCTAACAGCTTGGCAAATGAAGTCTTGAGTATACACATTCTCTCTTCACATCTGTTTGTAGTTCAGAGAGAAGATGTAGAGAAGCAAAGGCATGTCTAAAAATGAGAGGAGAGAAATGGAATTCCATAGAATGAATCTGGTGAAAAAAACCCTCTAATTGTTAGCTTTAATAGTCATCTAAGCAATAACCCTAAAATCAAAGTCTAATAAGCATGTTTTTGCTTTTAAACTTGTCATTAATTATAGAAAAGGATTCATTGTGATATTTATTACTATTTTTTTTGTCAGTTGTGGGGCTTGAACTCTGGGCCTGGGTGCTGTCCCTCAACATTTCAGCTCAAGGCAAGCACTCTACCACTTGAGCCACAGTACCACTTCTGGTTTCTAGTGGTTTATTGGAGATGGGTCTCACGGACTTTCCTGCCTGGGCTGGCTTTGAACCATGATCCTCAGAGCTCAGCCTACTGAGTAGCTAGGATTACAAGCGTGAACCACTGGCACCCAGCTTTCATAAATAATTTTTGATGGAATTCATTATGCTATTTCCATATATATATATATCATAATGAAATGTTATATTAACTATTAATGTTTATTGAATATTATAGAAGTAATATATAGTACTTCTCTTATTTTGCACTCCTGCTTGTCTCCCTCAAACAGAACACCTTTTACAATTATGTTATTGGGGCTGGGAAGGTGGCTCAGTGGTAAAGTGCTTGCCTTGAATGCCCTGGGTTCGATTCCTCAGCACCACATTAGCAGAAAAAACAGGAAGTGGTGCTGTGGCTCAAGTGGTAGAAATGAGATTTAGAGATGGTAGCAACCTCCCTATGTTCAAATACTTATATTTAGTGGTGAGAGAAAGAGGAGAGTGCGAAATATAGAGGAATAATTGGCAGAGTGACTTCAGAGGTGAGAAGAAACGGGACCTAGAGCTCATAGGGAAGGTAGGTTACTAGGGTACGATCTTCCCTAGTTGTTTTGCTTTGAATGGCTTGGATATAAACAATTATTTTAGGCTTTAATTCCAAATGGCTCTTTATGCCTTTTCATTTTGTTCCCATAGGAATTTCTCAAACAGTAGCAGCCATAACATATAAGACGGCTACTCATGATGTGCCTTACTTAATAAAATGCTGGGGTTTTCTGTCCATAGACATGAAATCTGCTACCTTCAAAGGAATGAAAGGTTAAAACTGGACAATAACTTATACTTTTCAGAGTTAGTTAGGGAGAGAAGTACTGCTCCAATGTGAGGCTACTTGTATAGCATTTAATCATTATGAGTTTATGTAGACTTTTCAATAATCTCTTGCATTAGGAAGGTAAATCAACTAAAAACTCTAAATTTGGGGCATAAATAAATATTCTCACTCCTCCTGCGTCTGACTTACAACATCTAAGTCAGTGGCCTTAGTTTGTTCTTGTGTAGCAACTGCTGAGGAGAGTGTAGGAATGCATGCATCCCCTTTGCCTGCTCATATAATTGCAGGAGTTCTCAGAATTAGGCCAGTGTTACCATTTTAGAGGGCTTTTAAATAATTGCTCCAATGAGATAATTTCCCTTGGATAACATTGTACTAATTTTCATTGTCTAAATGGTTTCCCAAAGGCTTGCCAATGTTGCGATGTTATCTTCACTCACCAATGAATATTTATTTTAAAAAGTCTCTGGATATACCATTAGGAGCATGTTTTATTTCTTCAACCTGTGACTTCCTCAAAATTATAAATAGCAGCAAAATAATTCTGGATTACAAATAATAGCAGCTAGCCTTTAGAGCCAGATGTAACTATTTTGCCAGAGCCTTAGGCACACTATTCCATTTATTCTCATGTAAGAACTTTATGAAGCAGGTTCTTTATTTTCTTTATGTACAGATGAGGAAACTGAGGTTTAGAGAATATATATAATTAATTTGCCTGAACAATAAATATACTTAGTAAGCCAACATCTAAGATTTAAATGCACATTTGCTGATTTTTAGAAAAGGATTCTCAATCTTGATTGAATCTTAGGATCTATTAGGGAGCTTTAAAAAAATACTGACATCTGACTTAGTGACCAGAGATGGAGTTTGTGTATCTGTGATCTCAAGTTTCATGTTTGGTCAGGGTTAAGAACCATTGCTTTCCAGCTGTAGTGTCCATATTGGCTTTCTAAATTTCAGTTAATTAGAAATAAAAGAAATGAGAGAGTAGTTCTGTAGTTACACTAGCCACCTTTTAAATGCTTATGTTACATGTACTCCTATGTAGGGGTACATAGGGACAGAACATTGCTACTGTTGAAGGAAGTTCTATAGCACTTTCATTTTGTGTATGTGCTGCTGCTGGGTCTTGAGCTCAGGCCCTGGGTGATGTTCCTAAACTATTTCTGCTCAGGGCTAAAATAGTATGTTCTACCACTTGATCCATGGCTTCACTTCTGGCTTTTTTGGTGGTTAATTGGAGATAAGAGTCTCATGGACTTTCTTGTCTAGGCTGGCTTGAATTGTGATTCGTGATCTCAGCCTTTTGAGTAGTTAGGATTACAGGCGGGAACCATCAGGGCTCAGCTTATTGGACCTTGCAGAGCATCTGCCCACTACCTTTTCCCCTTTGGGATTGGACTAGAGCACTAAGCCACAACCTGACAATTTGGAAATATTTGCTTACCAAATCTGAATATGGTACTCAGTACATGGAATTAGAATATTTACCACACATATCATTTTAACATTTTTCAAAATGACAAAAACAAAAGCCTTCATTCTCTAGGAGATGGTGTGGGAAGGATTTTGTTACAATGGTGGCCATATCCTTATTTTGTTGACATTTCAAACTTGTTCCTCAACTTAGATTGCTAAACAAATTATTGATCCTTGGTCTGAGTATATTTAACTCACTTAATAATACTTTTTTCAGAGAGTTTCTGTTACTTTTCTATTATTTGAAAATGTTCTTTCTACTGCACCCTGGACAACACTGATTATCATTAAGAAAACTTTGCTAATTTAAATGGAAATATATGGTACCTTATTTTAATTTGTATTTTTATTACTACTTTTGTGCCAATTCCTTCTATGATCCAGGATTATAAAAGAGTAGTATAGACTAATGGATTTTTTTTTTACCAATAATGTTAGTTTACTTTTATTCAAAGTTAGTCTGCTGTGATTTTAAGAAAAGTTATTACCAGATACTTAGTAAATGTAATTTTAACAGAATCTTTATCTGGTAGTTATTCTTTTTGATGTTTTCAAGATATTTTAATAAAATATACTTATAACAATAAGTATATTAAAAGCAGTCACACGTGATAAGTATCATAAAAGAATGCTTGTAATTATTCTCAGATATTCTTCCTAGGGCAAACAGATTTCCCATAGCATGTAATTCCTTGATACAGGAACTAATAGAATATAATGGAAGGAATACTGAAACCACTCAAGTAGAATCATCATTGATTTCAACAACCATTAATATTAGCTCTGCGACTACAACCCAAGTTTTCCAACTTTTTAACAAATTCCTTTCTACTCAGAAATCTCTTTATTTCAGTTGAGCACATAAATATTAGTACTGGAATAAAATTATAGGTTGAGATCACTCCTGATCTAAAAATCCGGAATTCAGAGTGCATTCTGGAATTTAGATCTTTGAATTAAAGGATACTCAATTAATAAAGTTGTGCAAACATTCCCAAATCCTAAAGAATCTCGATGTAAAATATATTTGAGATGAGGATCATCAGCCTGAGTCCATTTCAGCATAAATCTCCTCATTTGTAGGTCATCAGTGGACATTAGTCTATCTGATTAGCAACAGCTACTAGACATCCATACAGTTTTACACACTGAGAGAATTGAGAAGGCCAGAGGTATTCTAAGTATATTCTGAGTAAATGGGGTAAATGTGGGTGGGCTTGGCTCATCTGGAAGGACTGCTTCATGCCAAGAGCTCACCATTGGCTAAGGCCTTCAGTGATCCAAATATGGATGCATTTGATCTCACATGTTGTATTTGTTCCCATTGCCCCATGAGAAAGACCATGATTTGCTTTTCAATCTAGATAAAGAAGAAGACTGGGCATCTACTCTAGAGAGGAGCACACTTTAAAAATATAAACTGGTGTCCACAGCTGTAATAGTAATAAAAAGTGACAAAGGCAGTGCATGTATAGCAGGAGAATCTCATGAAGTTTGGAAAGTTCTAGACTCCTCTGATTTCACATATAGGACTGCATTACTGTACAATCATTTTCTTTTCTTCCTTCCTTAGCCTGCTACAATATACTGCTTATAATTATTGATGCCAAATGTTGATTTGATATTTTCCTAGCAACTTGTTAATAGACTACTTCTTGAAGTTGGAAATATTCTGTGAAGTAAAATGGAACAGGACATTTAGAAGTAGAAGTGAAGGGAAATGGCTTAGGAAACTTGCTGGTTCACAAATTGTTTAAGTTCTCTCAAATTCTTTTTTCCTTCTAGGAAGTTTGTGTGTATGTTACAGCCCAAAGTTTGACTCTTGGGAGCAAATCACATATTCAGTGTTTTACCTTCATAAAGGTACTCTTTATTTATTTATTTTTCTACAATTGCTGTTTCCAAATAGTAGCAAATTTGATTTTAAAATCTTAGAATCTGACAATCAATTTGTAGTGGTATATTCTATACTTATATGCTTACATAATACACATAATTCACTAATGGCAAACATTAAATTATATAAACATTACTTTTTCTTCATCCTGACATGTCTTTCTTGAGACCTGTAGACCAATCCTAAGGGATATATTTGCTCAAAATGTGTTGGCTTGCTCTTTAGTTATCACCAATTGGAAAGCTTTATTGATAGCTTTAACTCCCATATTACGTAGGGTTTTAGTTAAAAAGTACTCTTGATTTCATACCTAAATAGCCTTTAGAGCTAAGTATATTTATTCAATTTCACAGTACGTCTGTCACTTGGCATGTCAGGTGGCAGGCTGGGGTCAGTAGTAAATGCTCAGCCTACAGTCGGTTGTAGCGTGCCCTGAAGTGGTTTTAGTCTGAGCTGTGCTAAGGAGGATTTCTTTTATTTGGCTCCTCAAAAATACTATTTGTGAAGTACATAATGTAGTTAAATTTTTTAAAAGATAAATATTTTCCCCTAATATTTTAAAATGTTATTTTGAGTTGCACCTGAGTTTATTATTCTGCAGGACTGATTATTATTATGGAAGTGTTAGTGATCAAGATAGAAAAGTATAATAATTTACTCAAGAAAAAGTAACTTTAGCCAGGCACTGGTGGTTCATGTCGGTAATCCTAGCTACACAAGAGGCTGAGACCTGAGGATCCCCGTTTGAAGCCAGCAGGGACAAGAAAGTCTATGAGACTCTTTATCTCCAATTAATAACAACAGAGCAGAAGTAGAGCTATAGCTCAAGTGGTAGAACACAAGCCTTAGCACAAAAGCTCAGGACAGTGACCAGGCCCAGAGTTCAAGCCCCATGATTGATGAAAGAAAAAGGAACTTTAGAAATAGACATATAAACAGTCTAATCCTCTTTCTAATTAAATTAATATTGTGAATTTGGATGAGGTCTCCGAGATTCATTATTATTCTCATTATTATTTAAAGTAAGGGGTTCCAAAGTCAGATTCAGAGAGTCTTAATGGCAGCAAGTGTGTGGATGAGCCGTCTGATTTTTCAGCTCTAACATGATGAAGTAGATAGCCTCATGATTAAGAATGGCCTGTGGATGTTATTCAGAAAACAACAGAAAAAAGTTCCTCACCCTGACAGGGGATTATATATGAGCCAAGAACAGTATTAGATTGTGACTGCACTCACATGGTCCACTTGTAGTGCTGGCATTGTGAGGAGGGCCACCAGAAACTGTCAGAGTGTTATGTATCATCACTGCCAGGAGTACAGTTCCAGCTTGGATTTTTCTTTGTTTCCTGCTCTCTCTACAGGATACAGCAAGACGTTCACTGCTGCTCTTGGGAGAGCTGGCTTGCCTGGGCCCATGGGGATAACCTTTCTCAACCTTGGTGGGTGATGGAGGTGCACCACATTGCCATTGTAACATGCATTCCTTCCAACATACTCTGTGTCTCAGGGTTCACTCTTTCATTTTTTTTCTCCATGAGCACCATTTGGTCAGGCCTCATTGTAAAGTTTGTTTGCAACATGGTATCTTTTTCGTCTCATTGCTACAATGGGTCAACCTGTATCCCTATTTAAACATTTTGTTTTTTACCTTCCCCTCCCCGAATTAGAGAAGTGTGTACACAAGATGCAGGGCACCAACAACAAATACAGTGACAACAGGGGTTATACCGTGGGGGAGGGACATACAAAGCAAGAAAAAAAATCACATGGTACATTATAAATACATGAGGAAAAATAGCAAGAAAGAAAAAATATTCTGTCTCTATCTTGGGATTCATTTCACTTAATATCATCTTATATGGTCTTATATACATAGCTTTTGACCTTTTCTACTTGTCCTACACATGTACTAGTTATTGCCAATAAGGGAAACCATGGGACCTGTGTTTCTTTGGGTCTGGATTACTTCACTTAATATAATTTTTTCCAAGTCTTTCCATTTCCTAACACATGGGGCAGTGTCATTCTTTCTGATGGAGGCATAGAATTCCATTGTGTATATATACCACATTTTCTTGATCCATTCAAGTACTGAGGGGCATCTGGGTTGGTTCCATATCTTAGCTATGGTAAATAATGCTGCAATAAACATAGTTGTGCTGGTAGCTTTAGTGTGGTCTTGTTTGTAAACATTTGGGTAAATGCCCAAAAGTGGGATTGCTGGGTCATAGGGGAGCTCTATGTGAAGTCTTTTGAGGAACCTCCATACTGCTTTCAAAGTGGTTGAACAAGTTTACATTCCACCAACAATGCAGTAGGGTTCCCATTTGGCCACATCCCCTCCAGCATCTGTTGTTATTAGAGTTCTTGATTTTTAGCCATTCTAACTGGGGTGAGGTGGTATCTCAATGTTGTTTTGATTTGCATATCTTTTATGGCTAGAGAGGTTGAGCATTCCTTCATGTATCTATTGGCCATTCTTATTTCCAGTTCAGAGAAGTTTCTCTTTAAGTCTTTAGCCCACTTATTTATTGGGCAATTGTTTCATTGAGGATTTGTTGTTGGGGGATTTAATTTTTTGAGTTCCAGGTATATTTTAGATATGAGACCCTTGTCCGTTGTATGGCTAGTGAAGATCTTCTCCAATCCGTGGCTTTCTATTGATCATGCAAGCTATGTTCTTTGTGCTCCGGCCTCTTTGAATCTTGGCTTGCAATGAGAATCATCAATCTTTTTATGGTCAATGGGATATGTTCTTTGTTTTTTGGAACATACCCCACCTGCTCAATCCCATTAGCTTTTGGATTAGTGGTATATCTTCCTCCTTTAGAGAACCAAAGCTGTAAATTTTCTTATGTTTTCAATAGTCTTTAAAAAGACACCTTTTTTTAGTAGTCAGTGATAACTGAATAAGATGATCCTCTACATCCTTGGAGAAGTGATGCATTATGTTGTGTTGACCCTTGGTTTTAAAGGGACAATGGCTTTTGGAAAGACCTCTATGTCCAGTTGCTAAACATGAAAGCTTCCAAGGCTCATGAATTATCTCATGGACCAGCTTGAGGAGTGGCTTTCACTGAATAAATATGGGAAGGGGAATCTGAATACCATACTTGATCATATAAGGCAATCAATAAAGGAGAAAAAAAAGAAGGAGCTGATTCTTTTTTTAAAATTTTATTTTATTTTATAGAAGGGTCTGATTCCATCTCCCTACTCAAAGCAGCTAACAGGAATATGGGGTGCAGAGAATTAAGGGGGAAGGGAGAACTAGTCCTTGCCTACATAGAGATTTTGGCACAATATTTAAAGAAGGAAAACTTCCAACTTATAGTCCATGGTTCTTAAGTATTTCCCATTCCCCAATCCCTTTGCTGAGATGACAAAGGTATAGGGAGGTATGATGTGAGGAGCTGAGGGAAGGGAGAAGCATAAATAAGTCCACACAAAGTTGGTGGATGGTACTGCGGATGAGGTTCAAAGTCTTATGCTAAGCAGGCCAGAATGTGGCACATTTTGACATGAGCTCAGAAGCTGTGGGAAATGGACTTGAGAGGCCTGGCTTTACTGCTTCCTGTGATAAGGGAGGGAAATATAAGCTTTCCTGGGTCAGGGACTCGATTCTTATCAGCCATGCTGCATCAGCATCCCATCTCAAGAGGGATGTGGGAAGTTTCCACTGAAAGCCCATAGCATTTTGTGAGGGCAAAGGTATCTTCCTTCCTCCCCGCCCCCCCCAAACTCCCCCTGGGAATTACTTGAAAAGGGCAGGCATGATTTAATCTGTGGTCTTCAGAATTTGGAAAGGGCAGAAATACTAGAGCTTGTAAAAATAGACTGTCTTATATAAGTTGTCTTTTTTTCTTAAGCACCATTTATTTTATAGGCACAAAATTGTATCCAAGATTTAAACTGTTCTAAGGGGAATTTTTATGACAGCAGTATTTTGCTGGGAGATGTGTGTTTTGCTATTAATTTCTTATAATTTCCATTTATTGTTAACTTGTTAAAAGAAGCTTCTTATTGATTAGAATATTAAAGAATAGAGCTTTAAAATTTTTTCCAATCAACTCCATACACAGCTATATAAAGATGTTTATAGCTAGGTGTCTATGGCTTATGCTTCTAATCCTAGCTACTAAGAAGTCTAAGACTAAAAGGATTGTTGCTCAAGGCCAGCTGGGCAGAGAAGTTTATGAGACCCCTTTCCACCAATAAGCGAGGACAGTTGCACACACTCTAATCTCTGTGGGAAGCTAAAATAGAGAGGATTTTTGTTGCAGTGCAGCCTGGGAAGAAAAGTCCATAAGACTTAATCCCAAGAGAAAGATGCTGGACATGCTTGATTTCCAGCTCAGCTATACTGGAAAGTCTAAAATAGGATTGTAGTTTAGGCACATGTCTGGGCAGGAAGTGGGACCCTATATGGAAAACAAATACTTGCAAAAGGACTGGAGGTGTGACTCAGCAGCAGAGTGCCTGGCAAACACAAGGTCCTAAGTTCAAATCCAAGACTACCAAAGTATAAGTTTATACCTATAATCTTAGCTAATCAGAAGGCTGAGCAAAATGTCTACCAGATTCCCATCTTAAGCAATTATTAAGTGCAGTGGTGTTTGCCTGTCATCCAAGCTATGGCAGAAAATGTAATTCAGTAGATCACAATCTGAGCTAAAAATAATAGTCTTATCTCAAAAATAACCAAAATAGGAGGGGCTGGAGACATGGCTTAAGTGGTAGAGCACCTACTTAGTAAGTATGAAACACTGAATTTAAACCCCAGTACAGACAAACCATACTATTTACTTAATGAATACTATAAGCTAAATATTTTACTTATCTTAGACCTTACAAAACTTTTGCTTGGTGATAGCATCCCCACTTTACAAATAATGAAACTGAGGCTTGAACAGGATGAGATGAATACTTGAGATTTTGTGTCTCTCTCTGATGAGAGCATGATATCAGTTTCTCATTGCTGTTGTAACAAATTACCACACACTTAGGGTTTAAAGCAACCCAAATAACCTATTCGAGATCTGAAGGTGAGACGTTTGAAAGGGCTGTGAGGAGCTGAAATCAAGATGTGGGCAGAACTAGTTCCTTCTTAGGACTCCAGGGAAGAATTTGTTTCTGTCTCCTTCTATACCTAGAAACTAGCTTTTCTTGGCTTGTGGCCACATCACTCCAATCACTGGTGTCATGCATGGCTCTCCTCTATAGGCAAATCCCTTTTTTTGCAAAGACTTTGATTACATTGGCTCTACCTGGATACTCTGTGGTCCTCTACCCATCTCAAGATCCTACTCATATCTACAAGGTTCTTTTCATCACAGAAGTTAACAGAGTCACAGGGACTCTCATGGCCCATCATCTACTCCACTACAAGTCCCACTGACGTTTCTGGAGATACTTTCTTTGAGGGTGACCTCCTCAACAGAGGAACTGAATGTTCTGAAGCTCACTCATCAAATGCTGGTAGCTACTTGCCTCCCTAACCCCAACTGTCATCACACCAGAACACCTTCCTACATTCCCAATTGCTTTCCTTCCAGAGACTTGGACCACTGTAATTACCTGGTGAAGTGGCAGAGGTAGGAGCTAACCTTGGCCACTTGAGGCCCCACACCTTTCCACTGTACCTCACATTTTTTGTTTTTGTTTTTGGCAAAAATATTGCCATGGTAACAATCCTGTTACAATCATCTGTGTTATGCCCTTTCACACAATTTAACCCATGTATTATGAAAGGACACCTAAGTCACCTGATGAGAGTTCTAAATCTTCTTTCTTTCCCTTGTCACAGACTGTCTTCCATGCAAATGATTAGCATATGTCTTTGCTTCTTAGAAAAGCGAATCTGACTGGCACCCTTAAAATCCAAATGTTTCTTCTATATGCAATTCATAATTAATATGAGATTCTCTGCTTTTCTAAAATCCTAGGAAACTTATTAGCCAGGGCTATATCCTCCTCCCCCACCCCCAGCCACCTTGCATTCTCCAGAAACCTATTTCTACATCATGTCTCAATATGGGGATGAATGTTCTAGTTACACAAATATTGCCTATAGGGACCTTGGAGGTTGCAAATTCTAGGGAGCTGACAATGCAAGGAAATAAATTAATACCTCACAAATGTCAGAATTCTTATGGAACTTGTCTTGAATATGTATTTGAAGTTCCTTCGAACAAAATGATGAAGACAGTGAATGGACCAAAGCTCATTTGAGTGCTTCCTCAACCTGGCAGAAATGATAAAGGAAATCCTAAGACTATCAGATTAAGGAATGGTTACTTGCTATCATTGAAAGGCATAATTGACTTACAAATAAAACTATAGGTATAAGTTAAAACAATTATGGCTAAATGTCTGAAACAAAACTATAGGTATAAATTAAGACAATTCTGCTAAATGTCTGAAGAAAACCAGTCACATGTCAGGAAAATGAACCGTTAGATGTGTATTTTAATGTTTTTTTTCTTTCATGCATTTGTTTCTAACGCATTTATAAGATTATCTCTTTGTTGCTTTGTATGTCCCTCCCCCACAGTATAACCCCTGCTTTCACTATATTTGATGTCAGTATA